AGTCCACACTGTCCCCTAGTCCACACTGTCCCCTAGACCACACTGTCCCCTAGTCCACACTGTCCCCTAGACCACACTGTCCCCTAGTCCACACTGTCCCCTAGACCACACTGTCCTCTAGTCCACACTGTCCCCTAGACCACACTGTCCTCTAGTCCACACTGTCCCCTAGTCCACACTGTCCCCTAGACCACACTGTCCCCTAGTCCACACTGTCCCCTAGTCCACACTGTCCCCTAGTCCACACTGTCCTCTAGTCCACACTGTCCTCTAGTCCACACTGTCCTCCACACTGTCCTCTAGTCCACACTGTCCTCTAGTCCACACTGTCCTCTAGACCACACTGTCCTCTAGACCACACTGTCCTCTAGTCCACACTGTCCTCTAGACCACACTGTCCCCTAGTCCACACTGTCCCCTAGACCACACTGTCCCCTACTCCACACTGTCCCCTAGTCCACACTGTCCCCTAGTCCACACTTTCCCCTAGTCCACACTGTCCCCTAGTCCACACTGTCCCCTAGTCCACACTGTCCCCTAGACCACACTGTCCTCTAGACCACACTGTCCCCTAGTCCACACTGTCCTCTAGTCCACACTGTCCTCTAGACCACACTGTCCCCTAGTCCACACTGTCCCCTAGTCCACACTGTCCCCTACTCCACACTGTCCCCTAGTCCATACTGTCCCCTAGTCCACACTGTCCCCTAGTCCACACTGTCCCCTAGACCACACTGTCCCCTACTCCACACTGTCCCCTAGTCCACACTGTCCCCTAGACCACACTGTCCCCGAGTCCACACTGTCCCTAATTTAAAAACAAATTAGACAGTTAGGACCCCCGCCCTTCCCTCCACCTCCCAATGTGAGCTATTCGCCATTTGCTTCACCCCTTTGTGCCCCACAAATGGTAAAGTTCCTACTCCTCCCTGCCCCACACACAGATGGTAAAGTTCCTACTCCTCCCTGCCCCACACACAAATGGTAAAGTTCCCACCCCTCCCTGCCCCACACACAAATGGTAAAGTTCCCACCCCTCCCTGCCCCACACACAACTGGTAAAGTTCCCACCCCTCACTGCCCCACACACAAATGGTAAAGTTCCCACCCCTCCCTGTCCGCACACACAATTGGTAAAGTTCCTACCCCTCCTGTAACTATATGTAGAACATTTCTTTGTAAGCTTTGAAGGTTTTATTTATGAATCTATACCTGTCACGGGGGCACCGTCAAACATCTATACCTGACACAGGGGCGCCGTCAAACATCTATACCTGACACAGGGGCGCCGTCAAACATCTATACCCGACACAGGGGCGCCGTCAAACATCTATACCTGACACAGGGGCGCCGTCAAACATCTATACCTGACACAGGGGCGCCGGCAAACATCTATACCTGAGACAGGGGCGCCGGCAAACATCTATACCTGAGACAGGGGCACCGGCAAACATGTATACCTGAGACAGGGGCACCGTCTTAAAAACAGAAAGTCTATACATCGTTAGGAAAAATAGTGCGCGGAAAAAAAGGGGGGGGGGGCATCTTTGCATGTTTTCTATCAAAAGAATTTTTTTTTTTTGGAGGGGTGGGGGAGTCTGAGCTCCCGGATTCCGGCGCCCTGATCCAGCAGGTGTGTGTGTGTGTGTGTGTGTGTGTGTGTACCAGGTAGAACTATAGCCAGCAGGTGTGTGTGTGAGTGTGTGTGTGTGTGTACCAGGTAGAACTATAGCCAGCAGCCGCATGTATTAGAGGTAGAGATATAATTGCCAAACGCGTCCAGAAACTGGAGGGAAAGGGGGGGGGGGGAGAAAGAAGGAGTTACAGAAGTAAATTTGTAGGGACAGAAAGAGGAAGAAAGAGACGGAGAGAGAGAACGAGAGGGTGAGAAAAAGTGAAAAGAGACAGTCAGAGAAAAAGAGGAAAGGGGACAAAAAGTAGATTACAAACGCCTACTAAATTGGCCGTTAAGTACCATCTCTTTATAAGGAAACCTTGTCTCAGAGTTGATGTACTTGGTGTGTCTTGAAGCTGATTGGATAAATGCACCACTCCGTGATATCATTCTGTTTCTCATTGGACTAGAGTGAGCAGTCTCCACAAACATGCTCACGACCTACATCTGTAGATTACTGCCCGCAGCCTTGCCAATTGGAGTCACTATAAATAGATGGCAGCTATTTTGAGAACTCAGTGAGACAGAGACAGGTATGTGTTCGAGACTGCACCCTTTTTAAGTGTGAGTGCCACCTGGCCCAGGGGAGCTAATTGACTATTTGCTCTGCATGCAAACATCATCTTGTAGAGTCGTCAGCCTTGTTGCTCACCTTCCTACTATACAAGCGATGAGCTGTAGGAGGGGACAGGTCTTGCTGGGAGTCTGTGGTTGTGGAATTCTTGTTGTCTTTTTGTCTGATGTGTGAGAATGTTTGCATATGTATTTGAGGTAGGCATTTGTCATCTATGCCTTTGTATGTTTAATTTACATTTATACAATGAATTTTGATATGTGAACATAAAATGCTTCATATATAACATACAACTGCCGTATGGAAGACGAATGCTTGGTAGGAAAGAAAGAAAGACGGGTGCCCAGTTTGTAACTCTTTCGAAATAAAGTTCGTTCGCTAGGTCGTTAGGTCGGTCGTTCGTTCGTTCATACGTTCTTTCGTTCGTTCGTCTTGTTCCTACCCCGGATGTAAAGGGAATACCACGTTTGTACGTGTGTGCGTCTCTGTGTATGTGTGTGTGTGTGTGTGCGCGCGTGTGTGCGTGTGTGTTTGTTTGTGTGCATTTTACCACCCATGCTTTTGTGTTTTGGCTTGATATTCATCATATGCATATTATTTTATGAACATAACATGCTTTCTTGATAAACTACTACTTCTGTGTAAAAGACGGGTGTTTGGAAGGACCGAATGTAAGAAGGGCCTGTCAGCCTAATTTGGGACCCTTTGAAAATAAAGTTTGTTTGTCAGTTTTGTTCGTTCAGTCTCTCTCTCTCTCTCTCTCTCTCTCTCTCTCTCTCTCTCTCTCTCTCTCTCTCTCTCTTTCTCTCTCTCTCTCTCTCTCTCTGCGTCTAACCCCCCCCCCCCCCCCCCCCGTTAAATGTATATGTGTGCAGAGTGACACTAATGCCGAGAGACACAGTCCGGAGAGATCTAGATGGGACCGCCTGGCCCGCAATCTCAGGAGATGAAACGATTTGCCAGGTAGACAGTTTGTGACACCAGCGAGCTGTGACGGGCGGCAGAGGTCAGAGTTCAGCAAGGATACAGAACTTATAGAGTGTTAGAGTGGCTAGCCCTGACTCTGTCACAACTGGCCGGGCCTCTTGAACGGGCACACATTGTCTGGTCATCTCTGGGTCTGGATGACCGGATATTGTTGGCTTCCCAGGCGGACACTGCAGGACTTAAGTTGACAGAAGGTTTGTGTGGACAGAAGGTGTGTGTGGACAGAAGTTGTGTGTGGACAGAAGGCGTGTGTGGATAGAAGGTGTGTGTGGACAGAAGGTGTGTGTGGACACAAGGTGCATGTGGACAGAAGGTGTGTGTGGACAGAAGGTGTGTGTGGACAGAAGGCGTGTGTGGATAGAAGGTGTGTGTGAACAGATGGTGTGTGTGGACAGAAGGTGTATGTGGACAGATGGTGTATGTGGACAGAAGGTGTATGTGGACAGATGTGTGTGTGGATAGATGGTGTGTGTGGACAGATGGTGTATGTGGACAGAAGGTGTATGTGGACAGATGGTGTATGTGGACAGAAGGTGTATGTGGACAGAAGGTGTATGTGGACAGAAGGTGTGTGTGGACAGATGGTGTGTGTGGACAGATGGTGTGTGTGGACAGAAGGTGTATGTGGACAGATGGTGTGTGTGGACAGAAGGTGTACGTGGACAGAAGGTGTGTGTGGACAGATGGTGTGTGTGGACAGATGGTGTGTGTGGACAGAAGGTGTATGTGGACAGATGGTGTGTGTGGACAGAAGGTGTATGTGGACAGATGGTGTATGTGGACAGATGGTGTGTGTGGAGAGATGGTGTATGTGGACAGAAGGCGTGTGTGGACAGAGGGTGTATGTGGACAGATGGCGTGTGTGGACAGAAGGTTTATGTGGACAGAAGGTGTGTGTGGACAGAAGGTGTATGTGGACAGAAGGTGTATGTGGACAGCCGGCACAGAGACAAGACTTCACATTAGTTCAAACAACAGATCAACATCATGGCACAAGTGTAGTAACCTATAAGTGCTCCGTTCTACTTCTAACTCAAGCCTGAATCACAAGAATCTCAGCGCAGTGCACGAACTTCAGAGCACCGGCGATGATCCTGAAATACTTTGGATAGATTTTTAACTCCGAATTTTGCCCTGGCAGCACCATTAGGCGACCAGAGTGACATCACCCATCCAGTACCGATTCGTCTCTTCAGTATACGTCTAGCCCAATACACCCATGCGTCTGAAGATAAAGAACAAAGTCCTTTACATATGCAGTGAAGTACTGCATGGACGGAAGGGGGCAGGGGAGACACACACACATTCATATATACACACACACACGACCGTTTTTCTATCAGTGTGTGTGTTTGTGTGTGTGTTTATATATCTGTATATATATATATATATATATATATATATATATATATATATATATATATATATATATATATATATATATATATATATAGAGAGAGAGAGAGAGAGAGAGAGAGAGAGAGAGAGAGAGAGAGAAAGAGAGAGAGGGGCAGAAGAAGAGGCAGAAAAAGAGGAAGAGGCAGAAAAAGAGGAAGAGGCAGAATAAGAAGAAAAAGCAGCAAAAGAAGAAAAAGCAGAAAAAGAAAAAGAAGAAGAAAAAGTGACAGAAGAAGAAGAGGAGACAAAAGGAGAAAAAGCAGAAAAAGAAGAAAAAGAAGAAGAAAAAGAAAAAGAAGAAAAAGAAGAAGAAATGGAAGAAAAATAATATAGGTATGCGTGTGCAAAACATTTCTGCTAAAACGATTAGGTTGGCCTACAGAACAGAGAGTATGTAAGGATAAACACGACTGGCCACAGTTTTCTAATCACTCGACAGCTGCTCGTGTAACCTGTACTGTAGCCGCTCGTGTAACCTGTACTGTAGCCGCTCGTGTAACCTGTACTGTAGCCGCTCGTGTAACCTGTACTGTAGCCGCTCGTGTAACCTGTACTGTAGCCGCTCGTGTAACCTGTACTGTAGCCGCTCGTGTAACCTGTACTGTAGCCGCTCGTGTAACCTGTACTGTAGCCGCTCGTGTAACCTGTACTGTAGCCGCTCGTGTAACCTGTACTGTAGCCGCTCGTGTAACCTGTACTGTAGCCGCTCGTGTAACCTGTACTGTAGCCGCTCGTGTAACCTGTACTGTAGCCGCTCGTGTAACCTGTACTGTAGCCGCTCGTGTAACCTGTACTGTAGCCGCTCGTGTAACCTGTACTGTAGCCGCTCGTGTAACCTGTACTGTAGCCGCTCGTGTAACCTGTACTGTAGCCGCTCGTGTAACCTGTACTGTAGCCGCTCGTGTAACCTGTACTGTAGCCGCTCGTGTAACCTGTACTGTAGCCGCTCGTGTAACCTGTACTGTAGCCGTTCTCAAACTTGTTAGTCTGGGCCATAATAAAAGATGTCCCTTTGAATCAGAGAAACACTTGAAGAATGGGTTGATGCTCATCTGCACTTAGAGACACCAGCTGGCCAACTGGGATGTGTGGTGTGTCTGTTGTGTTGTGGAAACGATGTGTGGGTCAAACTGGGATGTGTGGTGTGTCTGTTGTGTTGTGGAAACGATGTGTGGGTCAAACTGGGATGTGTGGTGTGTCTGTTGTGTTGTGGAAACGATGTGTGGGTCAAACTGGGATGTGTGGTGTGTCTGTTGTGTTGTGGAAACGATGTGTGGGTCAAACTGGGATGTGTGGTGTGTCTGTTGTGTTGTGGAAACGATGTGTGGGTCAAACTGGGATGTGTGGTGTGTCTGTTGTGTTGTGGAAACGATGTGTGTGTCAAACTGGGATGTGTGGTGTGTCTGTTGTGTTGTGGAAACGATGTGTGTGTCAAACTGGGATGTGTGGTGTGTCTGTTGTGTTGTGGAAACGATGTGTGGGTCAAACTGGGATGTGTGGTGTGTCTGCTGTGTTGTGGAAACGATGTGTGGGTCAAACTGGGATGTGTGGTGTGCACTGTTGTGTTGTGGGTCTGCTGGGGACTACATCGCTTGGTGTGTGACTAAATATACCTCTTCTTTTTCTTCTTCTTCTTCTTCTTCTTCTTCTTCTTCTTCTTCTTCTTCTTCTTCTTCTTCTTTTTCTTCTTCTTCTTCTTCTTCTTCCTCTGCCTCTTTTTATTCTTCTTCTGCCTTTTCTTCTTCTTCTGCCTCATGAGTCTGCAAGATGTGGTCAGGCCTGGCACCGCAGCCATCAGTGTTGGGGGCAGCTAGCTCTCCTAGGAGGGTGAAAAGTGAAACAAATTAGTAGCCTGCTGCTGTCACGTGATCGCACAAGCCAAACCCACCTTCCCGTGGTACAGACCGGAAACTGTATCTATGAGGATACAGGCTAACAGGGAAATGAGCTCCCGGAGAGGAGTGGGCCCCCGGAGAGGAGTGGGCCCCCGGAGAGGAGTGGGCCCCCGGAGAGGAGTGGGCCCCCGGAGAGGAGTGGGCCCCGCCAGGGTTGAAATACTGCCCGAGACGCACCATGCTATTGACGAAAAGATCGGATACTACAACGGCTTGGTCGTCACCCGGGTTACCAAGGACCGCCCCACCCGTCCCACAGATGGTCTGGATACTGTTCGAGTCTCTACAACGAACAAACAAATAGCAACACCGACATCTTTGAAAACAGCCAAGCACAGGAAGATGACACTATGAAATAATATGGGTAAAACCCTCCTTCGTACTATAGAACAGCTCTACTCCAAGGTCAGCAGTGACATCACGCTGAACGGACAAATTGGAAGCTGGTTCCGAAGAACAGTAGGAGTCCGGCAAGGCGGCCTCCTCTCTCCAACACTGTTGAACATCTTTGCCCTAGAACAACGTCATGGAACAGTTAGTATCGGAGGTCGAAATATTCCACCTGAGATGGAACACCTGTGTGTCGTATAGTAGATGTAGATTCTCTGCACACCTGAAATAGAACACCTGTGTGTCGGGTAGTAGATGTAGATTCTCTGCACACCTGAGATGGAACACCTGTGTGTTGTGTAGTAGATGTAGATTTCCTGCACACCTGAGATGGAACACCTGTGTGTCAGGTAGTAGATGTAGATTTCCTGCACACCTGAGATGGAACACCTGTGTGTCGTGTAGTAGATGTAGGTTCTCTGCACACCTGAGATGGAACACCTATGTGTCGTGTAGTAGATGTAGGTTCTCTGCACACCTGAGATGGAACACCTGTGTGTCGTGTAGTAGATGTAGGTTCTCTGCACACCTGAGATGGAACACCTGTGTGTCGTGTAGTAGATGTAGATTCCCTGCACACCTGAGATGGAACACCTGTGTGTCGTGTAGTAGATGTAGGTTCTCTGCACACCTGAGATGGAACACCTATGTGTCGTGTAGTAGATGTAGATTCCCTGCACACCTGAGATGGAACACCTGTGTGTCGTGTAGTAGATGTAGGTTCTCTGCACACCTGAGATGGAACACCTATGTGTCGTGTAGTAGATGTAGATTCTCTGCACACCTGAAATAGAACACCTGTGTGTCGGGTAGTAGATGTAGATTCTCTGCACACCTGAGATAGAACACCTATGTGTCGGGTAGTAGATGTAGATTCTCTGCACACCTGAGATAGAACACCTATGTGTCGGGTAGTAGATGTAGATTCTCTGCACACCTGAGATAGAACACCTATGTGTCGGGTAGTAGATGTAGATTCTCTGCACACCTGAAATAGAACACCTGTGTGTCGGGTAGTAGATGTAGATTCTCTGCACACCTGAGATGGAACACCTGTGTGTCAGGTAGTAGATGTAGATTCTCTGCACACCTGAGATGGAACACCTGTGTGTCGGGTAGTAGATGTAGATTCTCTGCACACCTGAGATGGAACACCTGTGTGTCGTGTAGTAGATGTAGGTTCTCTGCACACCTGAGATGGAACACCTGTGTGTCGGGTAGTAGATGTAGATTTCCTGCACACCTGAGATGGAACACCCGTGTGTCGTGTAGTAGATGTAGATTTCCTGCACACCTGAGATGGAACACCTGTGTGTCGTGTAGTAGATGTAGATTCTCTGCACACCTGAGATGGAACACCTGTGTGTCGTATAGTAGATGTAGATTCCCTTCACACCTGAGATGGAACACCTGTGTGTCGGGTAGTAGATGTAGATTTCCTGCACACCTGAGATGGAACACCTGTGTGTCGTGTAGTAGATGTAGATTCCCTGCACACCTGAGATGGAACACCTGTGTGTCGGGTAGTAGATGTAGATTCTCTGCACACCTGAGATGGAACACCTGTGTGTCGGGTAGTAGATGTAGATTCTCTGCACACCTGAGATGGAACACCTGTGTGTCGGGTAGTAGATGTAGATTCTCTGCACACCTGAGATGGAACACCTGTGTGTCGTGTAGTAGATGTAGATTCTCTGCACAACTGAGATGGAACACCTGTGTGTCGTGTAGTAGAAGTAGATTTCCTGCACACCTGAGATGGAACACCTGTATGTCGTGTAGTAGATGTAGATTCTCTGCACACCTGAGATGGAACACCTGTGTGTCGTGTAGTAGATGCAGATTTCCTGCACACCTGAGATGGAACACCTGTGTGTCGTGTAGTAGATGTAGATTCTCTGCACAGCTGAGATGGAACACCTGTGTGTCGTGTAGTAGATGTAGATTCTCTTCACACCTGAGATGGAACACCTGTGTGTCGTGTAGTAGATGTAGATTCTCTCCACAGCTGAGATGGAACACCTGTGTGTCGTGTAGTAGATGTAGATTCTCTGCACACCTGAGATGGAACACCTGTGTGTCGTGTAGTAGAGGTAGATTCCCTGCACACCTGCAGCGTCAACTTTAACTATTTCTGACTTATAAAACAAGAGCACAGAAAACTGATCCACCAGTTCATTATTTTGCCAAATGGCAGGGAAATAAAGAGGAGGTCATCAAGCAGCTGGGACTTTAACAACACAGCAGAAAGTGTTACAGCTTACGAGGGCTAACATAAATATAGAGAGCTAAAGCCCCAAACCAACTACCAGAATATATAAGTAGTATACCGCTTTTGTTTGCTCCTAACACGTGCATGTCGACACTTAGTGACGAAAACGATGATAAAGACGATGATGTAGTCTCTTTATCTGTGAGCAGACAACCGTTGACTACTCCCTCACATCCTCCCTATCGCCTGTGGCCAGGAATTATGTCTGCCATAGACCTCTTCATACAAGATACTGAACACCTCCCACATTCCTGTCTGCCCGCTACTGAACACCTCCCACATTCCTGTCTGCCCGCTACTGGACACCTCCCACATTACTGTCTGCCCGCTACTGGACACCTCCCACATTACTGTCTGCCCGCTACTGGACACCTCCCACATTACTGTCTGCCCGCTACAGGACACCTCCCACATTCCTGTCTGCCCGCTACAGGACACCTCCCACATGACTGTGTGCCCGCTACTGGACACCTCCAACATTCCTGTCTGCCCGCTACTGGACACCTCCCACATTCCTGTCTGCCCGCTACTGGACACCTCCCACATTACTGTCTGTCCGCTACTGGACACCTCCCACATGACTGTGTGCCCGCTACAGGACACCTCCCACATTCCTGTCTGCCCGCTACTGGACACCTCCCACATGACTGTCTGCCTGCTACTGAACACCTCCCACATTCCTGTCTGCCCGCTACTGGACACCTCCCACATTCCTGTCTGCCCGCTACTGGACACCTCCCACATTACTGTCTGTCCGCTACTGGACACCTCCCACATTACTGTCTGCCCGCTACTGGACACCTCCCACATTACTGTCTGCCCGCTACTGAACACCTCCCACATGACTGTCTGCCTGCTACTGAACACCTCCCACATGACTGTCTGCCCGCTACTGGACACATCCCACATTCCTGTCTGCCCGCTACTGAACACCTCCCACATTCCTGTCTGCCCGCTACTGAACACCTCCCACATTCCTGTCTGCCCGCTACTGAACACCTCCCACATTCCTGTCTGCCCGCTACTGAACACCTCCAACATTCCTGTCTGCCCGCTACTGAACACCTCCCACATTACTGTCTGCCTGCTACTGAACACCTCCCACATTACTGTCTGCCTGCTACTGGACACCTCCCACATTCCTGTCTGCCCGCTACTGGACACCTCCCACATGACTGTCTGCCCGCTACTGAACACCTCCCACATTACTGTCTGCCTGCTACTGGACACCTCCCACATTCCTGTCTGCCCGCTACTGAACACCTCCCACATTACTGTCTGCCCGCTACTGAACACCTCCCACATTCCTGTCTGTCCGCTACTGGACACCTCCCACATTACTGTCTGCCCGCTACTGGACACCTCCCACATTACTGTCTGCCCGCTACTGAACACCTCCCACATGACTGTCTGCCTGCTACTGAACACCTCCCACATGACTGTCTGCCCGCTA